AAATCAAACATGTTACTTCTTCAACGAGAGCCGCAGAAGGTGAGAGGGGGTATGTTGAAAACATGGCTGCTTTTTATTAGCTCCTGTACATTTACTGTCTGCAGCACAAGAACCATGGCATTCACAAGAATGGCCTCTATCCTCTGCACGTGTAACCACCTACTGTATTTTACACAGCCAGGACAACTTCCCTGCACATAAAGCACATTTCTAAACACCAGTACAGTTTCAGCAGCAAACACCAAGCTATTCTTGACTTGACAGGGAAGCTGCAATTCTGCAGCTAGACAGGCTCATCCAAGACCCTACTTGATTTGTTTCCAAGTAACACTGCTTGCCTAGAAGGACCTGACTCCCACGCAGGTACATACGGGCTTCCTCCAGCAACTGAAGATGGAATTATCACTTCATCTGCTCTCTGCATGTGCTGCAGAGATGCACTTGCAGAGAAGTGTATTAAACCTCGGTATTTGCTCCCGAAAGAAAAATCTTCCAAAAAAGAGAATGTCTCCCAACATATGCACATGCCAATTTTATAGCTAGCCTCACTTTTACTTTTTAAATTAAAAACTAGCACTAATAAAGGAACAGATTATTTTCTATTCTTTGCTGTCAGGTCCTTTAACTAACAACACTGGGATGAACCAAGACTCATTTTTCCTCTCTCCTCCTAGCCTTAACCCTGGGGATAGCTCATCCTGGATTTTTTTTCCCCCCAAGAGACATCCTCATGTCAAGCAACCTCAGAAAAGGAAAAAAACACAGCCATAGCCTTCAGTAAACTTTCCTATTCCATATGGTTTTCAAGGCTCAAGAAAGCCACTTCGTTTAAGTAACTGGGAGGAGAATCCTCCTGCACAGCCAGTGTGCTCCTGGGGCAGTTTTATTGACCCGAGGGCTCCTGGCACTGCAAGGCATCCTTTAACCAGTAAGTACAGCGGAATCTCACCTTCAGATAAATAAGGCACTGGTAACTTCTGTAGGTTTCAGTAACAGCTCACAATTTGCAGCCTGTTACTCACATGGTAACACAGTGGATAATCTAAACAGAAAGAATCTGCCTAGCAGCAATAAGGCCTTTGTTTCTGCTTCAAAATGAGATGTGACTGTTGCGATTACTTTGAATAATGTTTTTTGTGTAAAACGGAATACCGTTCCTCTAACGAGGTTTCAAAGTTGGCTTCAAGGCAAAGATTTAAAACCCCTTTAGATTTCAGAGGTATTTTTTGTAGTCCCTTAAAAAGGGGCTGCTATAGGAAGTAAGCAGCTGGGGGGAAAGGAACATTTAATTTCAAATGTTATAAAGCAGAGCTGGTTTGCTGGAGAAAAAAACACAACTTGTTGTCACCTTAAACACAAGGCAAGGCAGAGAAAAAACAACAGAATATAATTAAAGCACTTCCCAAGATGGAAGGCAGCACAACAGCAGATCGCTGTGCAACAAGGGCAGCAGAGCCTCACGGTTAGCCAATTCTGTAAGAAACATGCTCAGCTCCATCACCGTTTTCTCCCTAATAAGAGTCCCCGTGGAGATTAGATCGAAGAGACGCACGAGCTGGTGGGGTGGAGGCAGGGGAAAGGAAGTCTAAATAAACTGCTCTGCTGGGTGTTATTTTGTTTGCATAGCATTTGTCTCATTCGACATTTTACACTGCAGCAATCAGGCTACTAAGTGTTTATAATATCCCTTGGCCCACTGCTGATCTTCTGTCTGAGCAGAAAACTCTTCTGTTAAGTACTGCACAGTTACACTGTGGGAGCTGTTAGGGAAACGCCAGTTCTGCAGTCAAAGGAGTGGCTGCAGCTGTGTAAAAATAGCCAAGCCAGCTTTAACGTGACTGGTGGAGGCACTGTTAACAGTGTAAACCCAGCAACTGGAAGCTCACCTTCCAGAGTCAGAATAAATACCGAACCAAATAGCTTGTGCTGACTTACAGAGCCGTTGTAGTGTTATCCCTGTAGCCTGTTTGATTTCACCTGGGTGTTTCGAGATGAGCTGCACTCACACCAGCAATGACCACGAAGACGTGCCATCTGTTCTTGAGATTTGACCTAACAAAGACTGTGGCTACCTCTACGCGGGGCTGGCTCGTGTCCCAACCACACTCCAATGCCACAGGTAGAAACATTTTATCAGAAGAGTAAAATCAGGGTCCTCTGAGCCCTTTTTTGTCTCTCAAGACGTTTCCTGCAAGTACTCTTTGGGTCTTTTATTTGAAAATTTGGCCCTGTATTCAATTCCTCCTCTGGACTATATGCTTGTTACTGTATCAGGTGAGTGCTGCCCTGGAAGGAAATACAGTTATTACAAGATGATTTACTGTGGAGAAATGACATTTTTATAACATGAATAAAGTTTAAAGCTGAAAGACAATTTTCAGTCTGACTGTTTTGAGAAAACCACTCCAAATGACTTAAAATTTTGCATGGGATCCTCCAGTGCATGTAACTTGTGATGTAGCTGCAATTTTTATTCAGATGACATTTGATCTGATCTGGAAATCTCTTCATTCAGGCAGTGAATGAAAAGCCACAAAGCATTATTCTCACCAAGCACAGGGACATGGTCTCCCCAAGCTCCTTACGCTCTTGAGCAGGTAATTGAAGAACTATCCACTAAAAATGTCATTTCTCACAGCCAGTTTAGAACTACTGCGCCTCCCATCAGGAAGAGGAAAGCCATTCGTATTGAGCTAGGCAGGAGCGAGGTTAAGTTCATAAAGCTAAGAAACCCCAAGCTGCTTCACTTGCAGCTCTGACTCCCTGCATCTCCCTCAAGAATTTTAGTCTTACAATGGCTTCTGCAAGTTTTTTCAGCTTTCAACTCACAGAAGAAAAACATAACATCATCAAATGACATTATGAACAACCTCAGGCTCTTCAAATAAGTATACAGATTTTTGGCCATAAAAAAAAACCCCATGTCATGGCACTTCCGCCCCTGCAAAATATCTTGGATTACTTCAGTTTCTTAGATATACAGACTGCGAAACACTTCACTGGAAAAGGAAAAGTTAAATAAACATGAAAAATTTTCTCGGTAGTTTCAAGTGCTTCCGATCAGACATGCCAGTTCCTGGGACCCTCCGCGGGCTGGGAACCAGTCTGCACCACTAAGCACATTCGAACCACGGCCAACAGCTGAGTGTGAACAAGGCAGGCTGGGATGAGGCACGAACAGGAGAATTAGAAAACACGGCAAGTACTAGGCATACACAAAGGTAACTGGCACTGATAAACTTTGTAGGTGCCAGTGCCCACCTGAGCTCAGGCAGTAAGTACAAAGGATCCAGACAAAACAGACAATCCTGAGATGGAGATCCATTTCTTAGTAAGGCTTTGAGTGCATGTGTTTTTTTAAGTGCTTTTCTTAAATTATCACAAGAGACAGGCTAGCGTCCTTTAAACAGTTGTGATCCTTCATTCCAGTATAAAACACATATGCAAACATGGCTTAAGACCCATGAACATTTAGGATATAATTTTAAAGTTTGTATTAAAAATATTTTTTATCCAAATGATAAATATTTTAAAATAAGCATTTACAAAAATAAAAGGTCCATTCCCATAAGGAAGGACATATATAGCTGAAATTCTGAATACATCTTGAGGCAACACAATTATTGATGAAGCTAGTTAATAAAATCTTTGGTATGAGAGTATAGTACATTAATATTCATGCACCATTGTCTTCCCTTGGCAGGTATACTGTACAAACAAGCGAAGAGGCAGCTTTTCCTTAATTTCTTGATATGTCTTCCAAATACACCATACAAATATTTCTAATGTGTCTTCCTATGATAATAGGAGAAAAGCCCAAGATTCTCCTGGCTCTTCCTATGACTTTCGTATCTAAAACAGAATGAAGATGGGAGGAAAAAGAGAAAGTGAACACAGTTAAGTTTCATTCTAGCTAGTAAGCAGCATCTACAGAAAATAAAAATAAATTAAAAAAATTACTCTAGAGAAAAGTTCATTTCCTTCAATATGGTATACATCAACTGCCAAGACAGTGTGATTCTATGATTCATCGCTGCAAGTTCAGACACACGAAGAAGAGATTACTGAGTTAGGTAAGGGGGCAGCGTTACACCTGAGCACGGCACTGGATGGTGCATGCCTGGAACACCACATCCAGGTCTGGCGGCCCTGTTACACATTGGGCATTGAGATACTGCATAGGTACAGGAACGAGCCTCAAAAACTGGAAAAAAGAGCCTTGGAACAAGAGACTAGGAGAGATTAGTTGGTAATTTTAGCAAAAATAAAGATGGAGAGCTGACTTGAGACACAAAGACCTCCACAGGGACAAAATATGAAATGTCAGCTGGCACACAAACAAGGGGCTAAGGGGCTCTGCAATCCGGTAGAGAAAGGCTTAACAAAAAGCATACACTGGAGCTGAAACCAGTTCAAACTGAGAATAAGACACACACTTCTAATGACAATTAACTGGGATCAAGGGAAGTGATGGATTCTCTGGTTTTTTGATATCAGTCCCTGAATGCTTTTCTGAAAATGCTTCTATTAAATGCTGGTGACTGAACCTGATGAAAGGAAGTGATGGCAGCTAAGGAAACACATGGGTTAGCCTCAAAGGTCTACTGGTTCCCTTTTAGCCTTAAACCCTGATTCCATGAACAGTCCAGCTGAGGGACTCTGATCTGGGAATGAAGGGTAACACAGCCCAGACTCCCACATCACCTGAAATGTCCACGAACTGGTGCTACTGTAGCCTACAGCTCTGGGAAAAAAATAGTAAAGAACAATGATGTTCAACTGTAACTGCTGTGACTGGGGTATAAGGAGCAGAAGGCACTAAACCAAAATGGAGTTTGGATTCTGCTCCCCATCTACCGCATGAAGACTGGCACTTCCCACAGCACCATGCGAAGACTCGAGAGAAAGTGACACCTCTGAATCAGCTGCTCTCTCCTCCTGTATCTCTCCCACTAGCACTGACTCACTGCTTTACTGAAGTTGATCCATGTGGATGCATCAACGCACTTTCTGCTGAGAGCTGCCACTCTCACAGCAACATTGGGTGAGTGGAAGGCAGGACTGTGAAGAGGAGCAGGAGTCCTGCTCTGCTGGCTGCTGTGAAGCAGGCGACTCAGCCGACAGAGGAGCTAACACCTAGAGCCAGCAACAGGGGCAATGGTTGTAGCTGCTCGGGCTCAGCAAATCAAGCCAGCAACCTCCAGCACTGGCACTGGTCATGCTTCAACCAGCTCCCAAGGGATGTGGAAGACAGAAGGTCTGGGTCTGTCTCATGACTGCTGGGAATCACGACCCATTGCTACAGCAACAAGAACTCACATGACTACTGTCTTTAAAAAGAGCCCCTGTTTGTGGCATCCTCTGTAGGCAAACTATCCATTATTTATATCTCGGCATGTCTGAAGCATAATTTGTATCCTAACCTCATTAATGAATGATGACACCTTGACCCACTCTGTTAAGTAAGCCATGTTAGATGAAGAGGCATGCTGCTCTCCCTTTCCATGCTAAAGTACGGCAACCAAGAGAAAAAACAATGGAGTAGATTACCTGAGTGACAGCAATACCAAAATAACGCAAATCCTGCAGCAACACTAAAACACGCGAGGAAAAACACTGGACCTAAAGAAAACGAAAAAGGAAACACATTAAGACAGAACAGAGCTGTGGAAGTTTAGCTCAGTTCATAAATCATCAATTGCTATTAATATGCATAATTAAGTGTATTCAAATGAAGCTAGCACATTCACAATTATGTATGTTCCATAGCTAATGTACTATGAAGCACATTTACTATACTGTAATTAATTTTTATTACAGTTGCTTTGACACCATTCACTGTTTGCCTCTGTTCATCTAGCTATATCCTATGAAATGTGAAAGTGAAAGGTTCCTTAGATGTTTTCTCACTCTAAACTTTGTGCAAAAAACCCTTTAAACACTACAACAAAATACTAACCAGACTACTGGGACCTCACCACACAGTGTAGCATTTTACTCTATAAACAGCCCCCCCGGGCCAATGCGCTGCCTGTGGGTAAGAGTACATCATATGAGACTGCAGTCCCTTAGAGGCAGATTTTTATGGTTTTGTTTTTTCCCCACAAATTCTACTTTCATGACAAGAGCAAATATTCTTGTTCCTGTTTACAATTCTGTTGGAAGCTGAAATGCAGAGCCACACGCACACCTAAAACAAATCTCCCCCTGGAAACATTTCCTACGTGTGCCTGCCTGGAATTACATGCAGTTTAACGCTGATGTTCAATATTGATGTTCAATAAAACCTTTCTAATTCATACTTATCCACAGACAAAACCTCATAAAGATTTCTATCTGCTTCTTTATCATCTAATATTCTATTTGTATTTACTACTTCACTATGAATATAGCTACAATTAAACTGCGTCTGTCAATTTAAGGACAAATGTACTGCAGACTAACAAATTAGTGGAGCTGACCACGTGAACAAGGGCACTGGAAAAACACCAAAGGAGCAAGGACTTGGTTGCTCCTTTGGATATAATCTCCCAACAAGGGTGGCTAGCAGCCAGCCAATCTCCAGTCTGAGGCCAGCTCTTTCATCAGCATGAGTAAGAACAGAAATTATTTCATTTTCTTATTTCCAAGAACTTTCTCTGTTCTTACTGCTGCAGTTAGCAACAGCAAAGTGAATAATTTGAATAGCAATTTGGTTCAATATTCAAAGTAACAATACCACAGGCAAAAATATACATTGAGTTAAACTGTGTTTCTGTCCCTCATTTCAGTTTTCTCTCAGGGGAAAACTGGCAAAAAGGCATAGTTCTTAGAAGATCCTTTTATTCTGTCACAATTTTATCCAAATTTCTAAATAAATAATCAATTAAACTTAAATGATAGAACAGTTCATTATAAATTTTGAAAATTCTTCAGCTTTCTTTCAGATCTTCAATTCCTTTTCGAGATATCTTTCAGTGAATAAAATATTTGCCTCTGTATGCTGGGCATTGAAAAGAGGAAGGGGAAAAAAATTAACACGTTTTCCTAAGGAAAATATATTTAAGTTCACCATTGCACATCTTCCTTTCTGTCTTTACTTTCAAATTATTTGTACTTAAATTAAAAGTTAAAAAAATGAAAAAAATTGAAAGTTATATAAAAAAATTTTTGATGGCCTTATGCAAAATGACAGCAGCTGAATGGACCTTACTATTCAAGCATTGAAGAAATCATAGGAAATTAAGAGTTTAGCTATAACAGTGTAAGTAAAAATACCATTGTAAATATTGATTAAACTCTGCAGTCTCTTGAATTTCCTGTCCCTGGTTTCCTCAACAGCAGCTCAGTACGTTTTTCTCCATTAATTCCACTTAACTTGTGACAGTAAAGACATCATAAAACAAACTATTTGTTACATGAAATGCAAATTATATGAAAAAATAAATTGCATCATAATCTGAAAAGTCATTCCATCTGGTGACACTGTATGCATTTATTTACCCCTGTCATTTAGCATATATTTCTCCTTGTCAGTGTCTATCTCTGTGGAATCTGTGGTTTCTAGAAATAAAAGCAACACATGAAAAGTTAGTACTCAGCTCAAGCAAACAAACAAACAAACATAATCAGCACATGCAAAATTGTGCAAAACAACACATTTCAGAAAAATATCCAACCTTGACATAAAATATAAACCCTCCAAAGTTAAAACTGGATATATGTTGATCAAAAGACATAGGCACATAGTCATTTGAATGCAACTATAAATAGCTGCAGCAACACCTCTGATCTGGTTAAGCACTAACCACATAAGTAACTTTACACTTGTTTTCCAAGTGAGGAAAGGAGGAGCTAATCCTTCCATAATGCCAGAAATTTTCATTGTAATAAACACAAACTATTTGTTAATATATGTGCTAATCTGAAAACACCCCTGTAATTTAAAGCATCACCATTCTTTCTGTTCTTGAGTAAATCTCTGGGCATTAATGTATCTGGCAGATAAAGCACTTGGAACAAACTGCTTGGCACAGACTATTTATCTAAATTCTGGTCTCAGCTAAAGACACGTACAACTTCTTTGAAAGTCTGTAGGTACTACCTGCTAACATTTGGCGCAAATAATTTTTGCCTCTATCTTTCTGCAAATTCTAGTAGAAAAGGAGGTTAACCTTAATACAAGGTGTTCAGTAGTTAGCAGCAATAAAGCAGTTTTTGCTTTGGGCAGAAAGACTTGCAGCTCTTTTAAAGGTGTCTTTGCCATACCGGTGCGGAGATAACATTGTCTGCAGAACGTGTGTGCAGCACCAAAGAACACCACTGTCACCATAAAGGGCAGAGGAAAGACTTTCCTTTAATGCATCACAAATATGCAAAACAACTTTTTTAGCCAAACCTCTTTGTGGTCAAGAGGGTTAAAAAAAAAAAGGCAAAAAAAAAAGTGAGAGCTCCAAATTTGGCTGTCAATAGGGAAGAATTTGAGACTGTTTGGTTTCAACTGATTTACTTCTTCTATGTGACAATCTGAGCTAGGTGAGGTGCCTTGGAAAACTGCCTGTACACCAAGTCAGCAAAGGGGACCTGCTGTCAGCCAACATTCAACAGTGAACATCCATCTCCCATGCTAAATACGTCCCTCTCGGTGGGGTGACAGGGCATGGCATTCAAGCAGAACAGAACCATCTGAAGCACTTTGCTGCAAAGCTGGAGAGTCACTGAAGCAGAAAGGATTGCTGCAAAGCCTCCATGGCATACTCTATATCAATGGCAATCTTACATAGCCTGCCTGTTTTGAGGGATGTCCTCGCTATGTACTCTAGCTAAGAAATCTTCACACTTCACAGGAAAGCACAGCCAAATCTCTGCACTTTTGTCAGGCTATTGCTGTGTGGAGCTGATCTGATCCTTTATGTTTCTAGTCTATATCAGCATCGAGAGAAATAAAAACATTTTCTGAGTCACTTGGAAGATCCTGTTTGGCTTCAATAGCTCAGAAGTTGCCCATGCCATGTGCCTTACCCACCCTCTAGTGGGAATTCTGAGACATTACTAAACATTTCACTTGTAATATTATACTTGAGGCAAAGAAATTTGCACAAATTTTTAAGTTGTTTTGAAAATGAAAAAGAAATCTTTGAAAGGATTTCCTCTGTAGAAAACATTTTTCATATGTAAAGCTGCATGTAATCTATTACAGAACTCTGTCCTGGCCATAGCTCATCAATGTCCTCACCAATAATTTCTCCAGTTGTTTATAATGCTGCTTGTTTCAGTTCAATCTGCATTTAGAACAAAGCCCCCACATTTGGGATTCCCTTTTTTCTTCACATTTACGAATTCTAATGTCAATTTTGTAAATGCTCTTTGCTAAATTTGACAAATTTAACAACTACTGCTATGACTATAAATACATGTACAATAAAAATTGTACATGTTAGAGGCTGGAAGGATAATGCCTCTACTATTCAAAATGTTCAAGTTCACTTAAATGAGAAATAACACCTCATATTGAAAAGCGAGCTTTTTCTGAAGAATAAAATTGTTTGCAGTTTTAGCTTAAAATGCTGCACAGATTTTATTGACCATTCAATCCAGAATGCAGACATTTGTTTTAGTTACAGAACTCATAAGAAGCAGCAAACATATTAACACAATTATCTCATTATTTCCTTCTCAGGTCCTTCCTTATAGGAAACTGCAGAATCTCACCATGTAGTAGTATTTTAGCTCAGTTATTTAAATTATTCTCATCGTTCTGAGGATAGTAACATCAGAGAGCGTACCAAGATACAGAGAATTTAATGACTTATGACAGTTACTGGAGTCCCTTTGCATAATGCAACAGCAGCAAAACCGTTTTGGGGCACCACAAACAGCTCTATTTTTTTGTGAAGCACTTCTAGCACGTGTACTTGTTATGCGCAGTCTGAACACGAGAAGCCCTACCCCCACCTACTCATGCAGCTACACAAGTAAAAGTTCTCAGAAGTAGCCATGTAAATCAGATACAAGGATGAGCACGTTTATGCTCTAGCTAAAAGTGAAAACATCACACAAACACCCTATGCAAGTTTGTCCAGGTGTGACAACAGCACAAGGCAGTGTGAGAGTTCATCTTCACAATATCTGCACAACTTCCAATGTGAGTTTCATGGGTACAGATGAACTTGGTCACAGTTACACTATTTCTAGCACCCAGCTGAACTCAGACAGTCTATATGGGATGTAGTCAGGCCTTGACTATTGTGTACATGTTAAGACACATTTTCAGAAATGGCTTGTAGAAGATGTTATTGAACATTAACAGAGCTTAAACTCTTAAACCATCAATACACTCTTGAAATTTTATTCTTAGTGACTCCACTAAGACTTCTTAAGTTGCTTTTAACTAATAAAGGCTGCTACCTTCTAGTCAGCCTGGCAGAAAAACCTGTTGCTCTTGAGCTCTACCCAAGTACAAACGATTGATCCAAGACTATTTGATTTAAGAGCCTGTTGCCTCAAAGGGCATGACTTCTGCAAGGTGAATATGAGATTGAAAGCACTGCCTTAAAGCTGGTGCATGGCTGAATCAATAGGGATTCATGCTCCTCTGAGATTCTGAGGCAGGGATGGGCCCAGACTTTCCCAGTTCAAGAGGGTTCAGGTATGGGATATGGAGACCTGGGGTAACTTTGCAGCCTCCCTGTGCAGGCAGGAAAATGGTGCAGTCTTCCACTGGTACATGCTGGGTAGATACAAAGCTTCTCCTTCAAAATGAAAGGCAAAACAAAGCTAGGCAATGCAGTATCTTCAAAGGTAATTACAATTTTACATGCCATTTTCACTCCAGAAATAAAAGAGGTCTAATGGTTTTTTTAAACCTCTGGACTTTTGGTGTAACTGTTTGAATCTCACTGGAGTTTGACCCACACGTCTAAAATTTCCCCTGGCACCTAACTGTGGAGTTTCTTACAACTAGAAATCAATTGACCGGTGAAGCATTAGTGCTGTTAGATATTTTATAAGGATTTCTTAAACTGCAGTCTTTTTGCAGCTTCATTAACTTAAATGTGGGGGCTTTCCCTCAAGCTCCGCAAGTCATTTCGGTATGTGGGATGCCTGAACGTATATCCCATCCATTTGGAACACTGTGCTTATCTCCAGTTCGTTAGGTAAGGGGAAAAGAAAAAAAAAAGAAACACCAACACATAGCAAGCATTATCCCAGGTTGGCAAGTCAGGCTTGATACTTTTCTGTAAAGAAATGAGCTCCTTTGCAGTATAGAATCAAATCTGTTTGAGCCTCAGTCCTTCTGAAGTACATACACATATATTTGGGGGGCAGCTTTATGGGCATCAGTCAGGCCTGCCAGCTGCACAAAACAAGTCCTAAGTGATTAATATCACAGTTCATCATTGCAAGGGCCTATGAATGTTTGCTTCACGTTAAACTAGACATAACTAGGAGATTTATGGATTGAGGGAAAGCCAAGTTTCTGGGTCGCCAGAGTTTTGAGCTTAACAAATTTGAGGTTTGTAATGTTCTTAAGCGCTACAAGTCAGAATAAACACAGAGGAAATAAACAAGCCATTAAGAAGCAATGGTTATGAAAAGAGAGATTGTACTTCACACAAGTTATCTCGCTGTCTTACATGTTGCACTTAAACTGTTTTAAAGACATATTTCAAAACAATCAAAGAGTTTTAGACTGCCCACAGTAGTCAACAAATAACAAGAACTATGCAGTCAAATCCCCTTACAGCTTCCGGAAAATTCCAGTCAGAAGGAATTAATGTATACCTAAACAGGTTATCTAAATAACCTAAACCTCATCTGAATGAGATTTTGTGATACACTGATGAGGAAATCCACAACTCAATCAACTTACAAATCAACTTACTCAAGATTTTTCTGCTTGGCAGGTCATTATACAGCTGTTCAGCATTGATCTGTAGAGCCCTGTAAAACTCTTGACAGTGTCTGTCTCCTTTCTTTTGAAGGTGCTTTATCAGATCTGAAAGTCTGGTATGGAGTGATGCCTTTGGATTCCTGAACTGTAAGAGAAAAGCACTCATTAGAAGAGAGATTACAACAGCTGGAGATCAATTTTACATCACTTTACAGTATGCTAGGGAATGAAGATATGGAGCTTGTTTTATCTTTGCTAACAGAATGGGCCAAAAAAAATGAGGGGAACCTAAAAAGGACATGCATTGCACAGCAGTCTTCAAGACGTTGAGCTCCATCTGGTCAGCACTGCTTGATGGAGAGTGTATTGCCTCTGCCTTCCCTCATTCTTTTTCTGTCCTGGTAAAGTGACAGCTACTTTGCGTTTGATGTTTTCTCTGCATTCAAACTAACATGGTACTTGCTATTCTACAATTTGATTCTGACAGCTCTTGATAGAAAATATCAACAAATCTTATAATAAAGTGTTATGTTTTCAAGTCTTCCCTTAGTTGCCTAGTAATGATAATCCAAAAAGGTACTTTATACTGCTTAGTCCCAATATTGGAGTGCTCATCATCCCAAGATTACATGTTTCATTGTTTCCAGCACAATTAACTGCTGCGTAACCACTGCAACACGTACAAATTCTCATTACTCAGGCAACATGGCAAGCAGTTGCAGAAGAAAGTACTTTTTTTCCGTAGTCCAAAATGTGACGAATATTAGGAGACCTTACAAAGAGAATGAAAACATGTACCTAGCCTTACACACATAAAACTGATTTCAGCTTATTTGAAAAACATCCAAAGCCATTCTAAGCAAAGCATTATATTTCAGACCAGTACAGCAGATAACATTTGTAGTACACTTAGTTAGGATCAGTTCCTGCTCTATGGGGATAGGAATGCAACATACCTTATGCAACACTCCTTATTCTGACAAATTCCCACAAGGTCTACCAGATATAGCTGATATTATAAGCTTCCTAAACACTCAATAGAGTTGACAGAAACTTGCCTGGACCTATGAGAAAGCAGGCCATTTCCGTCTGCTAAGCACAGAAGTCAGAAATTACGTTTCAAAGATTCTTTATGCATTTATTTTGAAGCTCTTGAGGGAATGAAATGAACTTTAATTGTGCATGTCACACTATTTATCATAACTTGGTGGCTAGACTGGCTCAGCTGATGATCTAGCAGTGCTCTACACCACCAAAACACTATTCGTCCCCATGCAGCTTGATTATGACAGAATTAAACCTATTTTTTCCTAATGTTAAAATACTGATATGCCAAAACCCTGAGCCTTGTGCAGACAATGAAGTCAGCAGAGGGCAAGTACAAACTGTCATAAGTAGGATCTGGGAAGCTTTTAACTAACGTTAACTTTCACTTCACACAAGTTTAAAAGATCCTTCTCCCTAAAAAGAGCTACCCATTTTTGAAAGCTTCATGCCAGGGAGGGCAGCCTTCCTCTATATATAGTGGCACCACTGGAAGATGTTACTAACTCCATCCACCTCCCAGACCTCCCACACTATAGGTGGGATAATGCCCCCCTCCTCTACCAATACTCAGCGTTATTAATCACATTAATCAGCAACTAAAACTGATTAAGCTAACAGAGACGATTTTGTGGACACAGCTGGCAGCACAGATCATCTGACACGACACTCCACACCCACTCATGTGAGGAGGCAGGCATGCAGGGCATTTGGCCGCATGATGGGTGCAATCCTCCCCATGGAGTGGTCGTAAGATAGTATGCTTCTGCATGCATGGAGTCAGACATCATGGCAGGGACCATGGTCAGCAGACCAGGGCATTAAGCTGCTGCTGAAGAGAGTGCTCGCTCTCTCATCACCACTTGGCACAGGAAATGTGCCAGCCCTGTGACTTCTCCTCTGATATGAGATCCCAGATACAACTGGTCAGCAAGTAAGAGGTGAGGAAGATTGGCTGCATGTGTCACCCAGAGTCAAGTCAGGAAGAGGGCAGCTGAGCTACTGACCTGCAAAAGCAATGAAACATTCAGAGATATAGTAAAATTCATCAAATTACCTTTTCTGCTTCTGCATTGGTAAGCATTTGGGGGTAGACTCTGTTAAGCTGAAGAATAATTTTATCAACCACTTGCTCATTCAGTCGGCTGTTGCTTGTAAGAAAACACATGTCGTGTTGCAGCCGATGACAATACGACTGATCTAGAGATAAAATAATACAAAGAACAAACCACAGCAGTTAATTAGCAAGCCATTTTTAAATTCTGTAAATTTCATTTTCCTAACAGTGGTTAAATAGCTAAAATAAAATTACCACCATCATGTAATTTCAGAAAGCTGAACTATCTATTAGGGAAACACAACATAGCCACATGCTTTAAAAGACTCATCCACTTAAAATTACCCACAGCTGAACTCCTGGCTGGTCACTCGTGCTGCCTGTCTCTTTCCAAAGGGTTATAAATTATTTAGATGTCAAGCACTGATGGATATTTAATCAAATACAGTCCTAAAGTTGTTAAATCACTGACGATAAATTTTCTATCATTTACGAAGTCAGATTATGGAGTTTAAAACTAATGTGTTTTATAATTTTTTAAATGTAATTATGTATTTCACACAGAGAGGTTCTCTCTGATGTAGAACATTAAAAGGACATATATTTGGCTTTAAATTTTGTACATTATGGACACTGGTATACAGCACAGGGCTAGTCTTTGCCTGCTGCTTAGCACCTGAGGACTGCAGCACAGCGTGGGATGGGATGGGATGGGATGGGATGGGATGGGATGGGATGGGATGCAGAGAAGATCACACAGCCAGGCAAAGCAGGGGGCTGACTAAGCTGGAGTGATTTGGCCCTCACATCACCCAACCTGCCAAGAGTCTATTGCTGCCCTTTGTCTAACAGGAGACTTCAGCAATTTGCCCACCAGAAACTGCCCAGACTGAAACAGAACTGGAACATCAGGAACAGCATCTCTGCCAAAGAGCCATGAAGTTTTTAGGGAAGGACTTCTACCTTCGCTTCATGTGGGAGTGGGGAGAAAGGGCATTCAAAAAGCAGTACATTTTTACCATGGAAGTACACTCAAATACCCATACAAATAAAACACATCTTTTTCTATTAACCCAAACCTCTGCAAATACACAAATCCAGACTTGCTGTTGTTTTAGGCACCGTTTCCAATTTGACAGCAATGGATTTTGTAGGAGCATAGCTTTCCCTATAGCTGCTTGTCTATAGTCCCTAGATTAAGATACAGGCACAGACTGGTTTCAAGGGTTACTGTGCCCTTATTAGATTTAGAAAGAGAATGTCTATAACCGTGTCAGAAATAAGTGATAAAATGTCAGTACAGCACTTTATAACCAAGCCGCACAGAAAAAAACCCAAAACACTGCCACCACCAACACACCCCCAGCACATTCCCCATTTAAAGCAAATGCATAGGTTTTATGGTATTTTGGCTACCAGAAAATACATAACCATTAGCCCTTTGTACCCTGCAATTTCGAGAAGATAAACAAAAGCATGAAGGAAATGAGCCAGACAACTTTGGCACGATGCACTACACCTATGGACAGCCCTTGCCCTTTCTATACCATATCCTTTTTCTGTATCTGTGTAGCGCTAAAAGCATTTACAGGAAAGGGTTCAGGAAAATCTCCCAGTGTGACCATCACGCACTAATGACTTCTCCAGTGCCAGTGTCACTCCTATTCAAACAAGAAGACATAGCTATTGATACTGCACAGAGAGCTGCAATTCTACAGGCACAGCAGGATTTCAGTTACATTCTTACTTTTTATATAAACACCATATTATTTCCACGTGTTTCTAAAGCCTCGCTTTTCCACGGCTCATTCTCAAGGCAGCTTTTTAGTGTACTGTCAGAAACATACTGCCCTGACATACTTGCTGTGCAATTCCCTTTTGTTGCAAGAAGTTCCACGTTATCTGATTCATGGCTGAGATCAAACTTCTCCTCTTCAAATCAGCTCATTGACATGCACAAAAGGCTAAGGCAAGGACCAGGAGACTGTGAAGTTTTGTCTGTTCATGAAAATACTTTTTGGGGAATGAAGTGCCACAGTGCAGCTTCCTCCTCCTTCTGCCTCAACTACATGATTTGTACCCAATCTCAGTGTCACCAACAACTCTGTACCTTCTGCAAACTTACAAAAAACACACATTAAACCAGAGTCTTACAGCTAGCAGAGCAATTAAACTTCAAATAGCACTGTGACATTCAAACAATGAACCACAGCAAGTGCTAAAAGCGTGACAAGGATCCAGCACAATGTGTATATAAAGTAAAATAAAAGCAGGCTCAAAGTGTCATCTTTCCTGCTTCTCGCTCTGTTGCTGCCTTGTCATTACTGATCCCCACACATGCAGCACGCAGAAGTATATTAGCAGCTATTACACCAGTGAAGTTAACCGTAACCAACCGAAGATTGCATTTAAGTGAAGATCATTTTCTGAGCAGTCAGGAGCACTCCATGTCCTTGCGGCACCAGTCTTACCGAGGGATTTTTGCTGCCATCTGAAATGTGTGTGCTGGTGCACTGTAGATTATATTACGGGGCATAAGCCTCTCCAAGATTTCAGGGGTGGCTATGTTTTCTTCCCATCTAAGCCAAAAGGCAGGAGAAGAGAATGAGATGATGCTCTTGGCCTCTCTGGCAACTGCTAAACTGTGCCTGCCAAGGACAGGTCTTACACCTGGCTCGGGCATCTGCAAGACGCTTCTCCCATCCTATGGGATGCTCCATTTTTAAGAAGCACCCATGAAGCAACCTGTTTCCTCCCCATTCCCACAGAGATGTTTCATCTGTGTGCACCTGCACCTCCTCCAAATTACTTCAGTATTTAGGATGAGGTGCAAGGTTTAAAATTTCCATAAGAGTGGTTATCAAACTCAACGCTAGCTCAATAAAAGCAGAGCAGAAGTAACTTCCAGTATCTCACCTCTCCTCCAAAATCTTTTGTCTCTCCTCTAACTCTGAGATATGTCTGCCCAAACCACACAAGGAACTGCCTTCAGGCTTCTGGTAGACCAGAGAAGTGAAGCTTCCCACCAACACTGCCCACCAGTGCAGAATTGTGCTCCACCGACTAAATTTAAAGAAAACAAACAAAAAAGCCCCACCAATCCTAGTGGCTGGAATGTGGCACCCTGCTTTGGAGCAATACGGGTACCTGGAAAGCACATGTGTGCATTTGAAGCCACCACACGATGCTCCTGGGCCCACCTTGCCCCAGGAACTCTGGCAGCTTTGTTACGGCATGGAGTTGCTCCCATGCACTGCCACTCATGGCCCAGTTATAGGTGTACAAGCATGACCGTGCTATGAAGTTTTATCATCACTGTTCACAAGCAGCAGCTTTCTAATATTGAACACACCCATCATTTACATTTTGAAGTAACAGAAACCCCAAACCAGGTAACTTCACAACTACAGCAAGGCTACTGATGTGCTGTCAGGTCCTAAGAATTTAGGGAGAGGTTGTTTGGGATATTTTGCATATCCACCTTTTATCTCACTGCCTCAAAGAGACAACAGTTATTGCAAGGAAAATTTAAATTCTTTATGCCAAGATGACTTTGTTTTTAAGCAGGAGTCACCCCAGCATTAAAAGGACAGTCATGCTGTTAGCCAGTACTTGCCTAGAAAGTTCAGAGCAGCAAAATCGGGAGAGCAGGTCAATTAACCACAGCTTGCAGCACAGGCATGGCATTGCCGGGCATTTTAACGCCCTCAGACTGCATGAGGATTGCATCTAACACTGAATTTGGAATTTGGTATTACTGCAGTTACACCTTCTCCTCCACTAGAACATTAATCTAATTGAGTTTAATCCTGTTCACAGGCTTTGGACCCAACGGCAGGTTTGCTCAGGCATGCAGCTGCAGCGGAGGAGTCTGCAGGTTTTGACATAGCCGGCGGGTTGGCAGTGGACTGAGCTCAGCTTCACTGAGGAGAGGCAGTGAATACAGCTGAGATTGGATACCACATCATTGAAGCTGACCTAAAGGTTGCTTAAAATAAGGTTGGTATTTTCCGTACTCAGAGGAAATGTAAACTTGTCAAAGAGACAGACAGGAAACTCAAGAACTGTCTTTGACAGTTGAGAAGAAAACATGACTAATAATTTCATGTTATTGGCTTATAATTACTATAATAAGCCCATGACACATCATACATGACTGCTTTTTTTCTCTTACCCAAAGTACAAAAAGCCTCTGGCACACAGCATATGCACACCACGCTAACATACACAGCCTGCACCTGACCGCACACACGGAAGGAAAGGAAGTACACGTATAATTAAGAGATATCAGAGAAAAGCAAGAGATGATTGGTTTTTTGTAGCCAGCAGCTCCTCAAACAGAGAATAAAATACATAAAATCAGTGACGATAAATGCACAAGCTGCAAATGACAGTAACAAAGCAACGCACTCATCATTTTTCACCTGCAGGTAAAAATCACCCCCATTCCAATCCTTCATAAAATGACCCATCTCTATTCTTCCTTCCAAATGGGCAATTAGGTTTCTGGCAATAGCTGCAGAATGACCCAGCCACTAAGTGCTGGCATTTTACGGGTGCTGAATTATATTCTGCTCTTGGAAGTAACAAGGCTCATAAAAAAATTTGATCGTATGTGACCATAACATGCCAGACTGTCTTCTACAGCACCTGCAGGAAAAATGTCAAGGGTGACAGAGCCACCCTTCCCAAAGCTCTTCCTAATTAATAGCAGAGTGTGTTCACAGAGAGTTTTTCAGAGACAACTCCTAACCTAGGCACCAGCATGCCAGACCTTGGCAGCAGCCAGGACATCAGACAAGCACTGTGGCGTTGGCACTCCTGCTCCGTACGCCTGTCGTGAGGCATCTGGTCCCTGAAAGGTGAGCAACACACTGATAACAACTGGCGCAACACACTGATAACAAAAAACATAACTTCCAGGTTATAATGGCTGTCAAAACCCCCCTTGTAATTTTGATTCTGCTTAATTATTCTTACCATGTTGTTTTCTGTACAAGGAATATCAAATGGGACTTTGTCTCTCGCAGTCCCCTGCATATGCTCCTCTATAATCTACCTTCACTGCCCTTCTGGATAAAACCACGTGGCCCTAGGGACCTGCCACCTTAGGCTGGGGGTCTGCATTGCCACCTCATGTT